GCCTGAGTACAATAGCTAACTGTAATATTTGTAGATTGAATGAATAAAAATGATTGCCTTTTATGGTTTTATATAGATGCACATAAAAAATGAAAAATTCTGAGTACAATAGCCAACTGCAAATTTTGTCGAGTATTGTTGTAATGAATAGTTTTTTCAATATTTTCTGCTTTACTGTAACAAATCAAAAAGAAAGAACAGTCCATATCAGCTCAGGAAATTAGTATAGCCAAAAGGTTAGTGAAATCATGTCAACAAGAATACATGTTTCTGTATCTATGGTAAAATAACTATCTTAATATACAAATGCTTTTTTCTGCTTCACCAATTCATATGCATCATGCTTGGCTGGTCATGTGACCCTCAATGACCAATCAATGGAGCCACTTCTTGGCAGAGACAGTTTTGGGCTAGACACTGCTAAGTTAAACTGCATTCCTGACATGTGGGTAACACAGCTTCTTCTAAGATGATGTGCTAGACTTGTGAGTATGATCAGCATTTATAATAGCCATTAGCTTTGTTTTTCAGGATTGGAGAGAAGGCATGTACACTTTGTTAACCTGCTTTCATGGAAATAAAAACTTCCGTTACATTCTTCCAAATACTCCTTAACCATTTTTATCTTTTATTATAAATGGTTGAGTAATTAGATGCTTGCTATGTTTATATACTACCAACATTGTACAATATATAGATTTGGTAACCAAACACAAATATATACAAGATGTACACAAGATTACCTATCTACAGTAATTGTTTGTATTCTAGCCACACCTTATTTCTTTTGAGTTTGTTCACTATTGTGTTGTATTCTTCTGCTATGTGTATTGATGATCATGGCTCTCCACAATTTCCTGTCTTTTGTAGATTTTAATAAATTTTGTCTTTTTACTATATCTCTCAAACTCTGCTTTGCCATCCATTCAAGCTTGCCAGGTAGGTTATGTGTTGTTTTCCTTTAACCCTCTTGCCTTCAATATGTCCTGTGAGTATCAAATTTTTCAAGCCCTCTTTCCTCATTATGTGTTCTAGAAATTTCAACTCTCTCTTTCTGATGTTGTGTCCTTTTTGTATCCATTGTCTCTAGAACTTTGTGTTTGCTCACATATTTTGGTCCATGGCATTCTCAACATAACTTCTGTAGAACCACATTTCTGTTGCTTCAAGTCTCTTTTTCATCTGTGAGGAGATTATCCAGTGTTCACTGCCATGTAGGAGGACTGATGATACAATACTCTTTTCTTCATTTCTAATGAAATCTTCCTGTTTCTTAGTACTTTGCTTAGATTTTGGAAGGTATCTTTCAATAAATCCTATGTATATCAATTCTAAAACATTTAACAAAATTTTCTTTTATTGATATGAAAGATTCTCAGGATGGTCTTATGCCAAACTAAGCTAAACTTTAATTCTCTATACTTTTACATTTAAAAATAATCCTTTCCATATCAATTCTAAAACATTTGATGAAATTTTCGTTTATTGATACGCCTGAATCTCGGATGACTTTAATTTAGAATATAAATAAAATACTCACTGATGTTCTTCATTCTGACGTAAAAGGATGCTTTCTTATATATTCAATCTGATCATTGCTTTCTCCTTCAATTGCTGCAGAAATAATTGTGTATGGACCAAAGATAGTCTCAGTGTCCAGAATCGGAAATGGTTTGTGTGTAGAATTTGGGTTGATTTAGACAATTGGTCAAGCGTCATCTCTTTCCCACAACTAAAGTATTTATTGCTTCATTTCACCAGACATTTTATTCATTTCTTGCAAGACGATTCATTTGACACTGGTCAACAGCTGGTCTGTCTGAAAAATGTCCCTTTCACTTACTGACTTAGTCAGGCACAAGGTCAATGCAATGAGGCACCCAACAATGACGAAACTTCACTAAAAAATTGGTCTGTGAGATAATACTGTTTCCCATCATGATATAGTAGATCTGATCAAATAATGGCAAGACATTTGTGTGGTACCAATCTTCCAAGTGGGAAGAGTCTGTCTACCATGAAAATTAATATTTGAAATTCTGGCATTTTTTTTCCTAAAAAATAGACAGAAAGATAATAAAACAAGCTGTCTCATTTATTTACTAAACTTAGCCTAGTATGGTACAAGGCTGTAGCAAGGGAAGCAACCAGTAAGAATCAAATTCATTTCTTTATTTGCATACAATTTATCTTTAGGATGCAGGTGACCAAGCCTTTTCACAACTTTCTGTCCTTTGTTAGTAACTTTTGACCCTTTATCATCTCTCATTGGGGACTGGCACTACAGAATCACAAAGAAAGAACTGTACCAAATAATAGAAACTTCAGGATTACCAACAGTGGCAACAACTAAAATGGATAGCACATGTAACTTGAAGAGAAAATAATGACATAAACAAGATGTTAAAATTCCAAACCATTTCAAATAAAAGGTTAGGAAGGAAACCCCCATCAGTATTGGAAAGAGCGATAAAAGCTGCTGGACTTGAGAAACCTTTTTTCCTTAAAAAAATGTTTTAAGAGAAAGATTTTATAAATTTCAACTGACAATAGTACTGGCTGCTCAGTCTATGAATGTTAAATGTTTCCTTATAGGGAAATGGAAAATATTATCATTACCATTTGTCTTTGTTCTGCTTTCTTTTTTTTCTCTCTTTCTTAATTGTTTGTCTTTTTTTTTACTTCTTATTGATTCTTTTCTTCATTTTTGTACTAACCCATTCAGAATGCACATGATCATGGTTCTCCACAACTTCCTATCTTTTGTTACTCTAAATAACTTTTGATCCTTTATTATTTCTCTTTTTCTTTGTTTTGCTTTCCTTCTTTCCTTCATTCCTTAATTTTTTGTCTTTTCTATTTTTTATTGATTCTTTTCTTCTTCTGTGTGCTATACTCCTTCAGGGTGTAAACAATCATGGTTCTCCACCACTTCCTATCTTTTATTACTTTAAGTAAGTTTTGAACTTTTATCAACTTTGTCCCTGATCTGCCATCTATTCCCTCAAAGTTGTTAAGTAGATGACTCACTGTTTACTACGTTTCTCTTACTTTCAGTGTGTCTTGTGAGTGTTCATTTTTATTTTTTTAAAAACAAAAATCTAGGAAGGGAGCTGTTCATGCCTGCAGGATCACTGGTAGTTGAGTAGTCCAATGCAGGCAAGCAGATCTGGACACATTAGAAGATGGGTTGGTTTTGGGGTTGGTATTTTGGTGACATGGTTGACATCTTATTTTATTTCTTTTCCTCTTGTCCATAAAGTCAGCTCTGCATTCATTCTTGGAGGAGAAAATGGTTCATTGAGCAATGAGGTGCCAGGTCCCCTAGATTGCAGCTAAATCAGACCATTGACAATAGTTGATGTAATAAATGCTGAGAGTTTTCTTCAAAGAATCTTTGTGGCTCTTTTGGAGTACAGTGTCTCTAGAAAGTTTCATCAGGCAGAAAGATCTTGTATCTCCTGAATACATGTCTTGAAAGAACTGTCTTAAACTCAGTAAAAGTATGTCCTCTCCTTCAAAAGACACATAGTTGAGAAATAATCCTGGCATTTCTCTTCACTTAATTTGAATCCAAAATCATTGATTTTCTTTTAAACATTTCATGAATATGTTCACTATGTTGTTTGCGTGTTTCACTTTTTATTAGAATTTCATCTGAATATGTGATAGCAAAATTCAAATCTCCAAGCATCGCATCCATGGCTTGTTGAAAAATACCTGGGCCCACTTCTAAGGTAACCTATCAAATCTTTAGACCCCTTGATGGGTATTAATAGCAAGAATTTTAGAATACTCATTATCCACGGGTATCTGCAAATATGCATCTGAAAAATCAAATTTGGAAAAATATTTTCCATTGCTTCACTGGTTGAAGATTTTTTTGTGGGTTCAGGATCAGGTATGAACATATTTCTAAACAATCATTCAATCCTGAGCTAAAATCTGCACATACTCTTATTTTTCACACCCATAACAGGGATTTGGCTTAAGAAAATTTTTCTTATTTGTTCTCCTACAACAAGGGTTAGATTTTTCAAAATTTCTCCTTTCTTATTTGTTTCTTAATGTACTGTATTATGTCTGAGATGTTCTATTCTGTTACATTCCTCAGCTAATTTCTGGATGGTTAAATTAGTGTCTTGCTCAAGTCTTGTTACAATTCAAGCACAAATTTCAGTCTCTTTATTTGCTGTAAGGCCCTGGAGAAAAATTAAGCATTTAAATATGTCGGTGCTTAATTCACTGAGTTTGAATTTCTCACGTTGACGATGAACTACCGTAGCATATGATAAGTAGTCTTCATGCTCCTTTTTTCCTAAATTCAAACAATTCCAACAACTGTTAAAAAGTGAGCTTTTATCATTGAATATTTTTTCTAATAACAGAATTGTCTCTTCAAATGTGATATCCACAGGTTTCTTAGGAAGCATGTAAGTTACATATTTCTGATGTTCTACAGGTCCTAATTTCGTAGCAGTAACCAAAATTTTCTTTCATGTGTCTATCTGAGACAATCTTGTAGAAATACATCTTAATGATGCCTATAATACAAGGAAAAAGTTATTCCTTTGTCAGAATTATAGTTGAATTCACAAATAGAATTTGCAATAGAATCTTGAATAATTACAGTTCCTTTGTTATCCGACTTTTTAAAAAAATTTCCAACATTTCATTATATTTTTGGTTCTGGTGTTCCTGCTGCTGTTGTTGGTTTAAAACACATTTCCTGCATTTGTTTCATGCTTTGTTGTTGCTGTTTTAATAGTTCCAGTATAACAGTTTTAAATTCCTCCATACTGACAAAAAAAATTTTTTTCCAAGTCAAAAGAAAAAAAAATCCACTGTACCTTTTATTCTGGCAGGCTTTTTGTGTTCTTTTCATCATAAACTTGTTTTTAGTCCTTCCTAAAAAAAAAACCTTGATCATTGTGCCCACCAAACTGTTGTAACTGAGTTATCAAAAACAACAGTAGAAAATCAGAATTGGTTTAACAACA